ATTCTGGAATTCTTAATGAGGTAGAAATTGAGATTACTTATAAGGGATTTTAATCTGCAAATTTTGCAGGAAAAACATATCAGACACACATTAGTTTTCCAAGCAGACTACTTAGACAATACATGACTAGAGGGGATCTTTAACTACAATCCCCAAGATGCATTTTGGTAAGAACATCCAATCTCAGAGATACAAATTCTACTTTACTTGAGTATTCCCTATTTATGCTAATTTATACTTCTTCTTTTCTACAATTCAGACTTTTTATTGTATTATATCTATCTAACAGAAATAGATACTTTGATTTTACACACAAAACATATAATCAACCAATAAAATATGATGCAGTATTCTTTTGAGTTATTTGGCTGATAAGACCTGATTGGGGTAGTGTAAAGTTACATATGCAGGGAATTATGTGAGATGGCAGTGTACTAAGACTGATAAAGTTGTAATTTGTTTTGCAACAAAGCTAACAGGAAAGTATTTGCAGAATCAGTGTTTTTTACTTTTATGCTATGGCTGGTAGTGGTAATACTTGGTAGTTAGTTAATAGCAGTTTTACTCAATTAGAATTGTGAATGTTAGACGTTTACATGTAACAGAGTATTCTAACATTGTGGTATTGGTAAATGAACCTCTAAATTGGTAAATGGACCTGTACACTTGTATAGCCTTTCTGGTCTTGCGACCACTCAAACACTTTTCACACTACATGTCACACAGCAAAGTCCATTGAATGGAAACTAAGTCATTCATGCACATTCAGACACAGATGACACAGCATCGGGAGCAATTTGGGGTTCAGTTTCTTGCTTAAGGATACTTAGACACTAGCCTCTGAGCCACAGATGTTACTTTTACTTTAGAAAAAGATTGGAATACTTGAAGACCACCTCTGCTGTTAAGAAATGGTTAATGGTATACAAAAGTAACTCAATGACAGAGAACATTGTCCTTCCAAATCAATGCAGCGCACTCACAAAATGCCCTTCATAAAAAAAAAAAAGGTTTTCAAATTTAAAGCCCCTACAAGGAACTTTCTATTTGAGTTGATTCTGGCAGCCCCTGTAGAGAAAAATGGTAGTGTTTCTACCACCTTTTTTCCAAATTAAACAGCAGTCTAATGATACCAGGAAGGAGGGTATTGCACCATTTAGGGGCAGAAAGCAGTCTTTCTAGTAATGTTCTAGCTGGAAAATACAACTATAGTCATTTTTAATGATTGGTTGAAACAGGCTTGAAACTCTGCAGACTGTGGCCTGCTACGTAGCAATGGCCTGACACTCCCCCATAGACACCGGAGACTTAGCCTCTCTGAGCCGCTAGCTTAGCTAATGTTACAACACAGGTAGCACTTAGAGTCTGACAGCAGCTGCTCATGGCTGGTGACCTCGATCACCTGCTGCTCACACACTCTGAAGCTATGGTGTCTTTTTTAATGCTGTATCTGATGTTTTTATGTTATTTTATTTTTGAAGCCTGAAAGTTATATACCTTGTGCCTTATTCATCAAAGCATCAATCAAAGATTATATTAAAACAATTCCAAAGACTGCTTTCTGCCCCTCAACTGTGCAATACCCTTCCTCCTGATCTCATTAGACTGCTGTTTAATTTCTAGCTTTCATTTCGAATTTGTGTGTGTGTGTGTGTGTGTGTGTGTGATTCGCAAGTCAGCCAAGCCTAGCTCTAATGCCGGAAGTAAATCACTTTCCCCTTTAAAATAAGAGCGGAGCATTGTATTCCGGACTATGATACTTCTTAATCACACTAAGGTAAGTGAAAATATCACCAGCATGAATCTTATGAAATAGCCCGAACCTGCATCAAGTTTTTCAAAATAAATTCTCATTAATATGTGTAACGGGAGTACAATTCTATGCACCTGTTTGTGGTGAGTCAGAAATGTAATATTTAAAATCTCGCACAGAACACCGAAAATATTCACATGGCAATATCACAACTGGAAAAGTTTGTATTTTTGTTGACTAATGCAGATGAACCAACCCCTTAAATAGACTCCACTGAAGTCATCTTCAGCGATTGATGAAAGTGGAAGCTGTTGTGCTATTTTATTTTGAAGGTTTATGGCCGGACGTATTGTCAGTTTACGCTGACTTGACGCAGTCCGGTAATAAAAGAGCGCAACAGCGGGGTGTTGATGGTAAACTTCCCTCACTCTGCCGGTTGAAGCACCGCTGCTGCTCCGGTTTGTCCTGTAAGTCTTGTGCAACAAAAGAAAGTAACTCATAACCCGGCGGAAAAGGAATAAACTAACCCATTGACACAACGGAGACAAAAAGGGACATTTTTCATTCACTGCATTTTCCATAACTACTCCAACCAGTAACTAAATGTGCCACAAGTAAAAAAAAAAAAAAAAGTGTGCTTTTGTCTACAAAATGTGGAGAGGCTGATAATTGTTAGCTAAAGTCGAAATTTGTTTGAGGGTTTGTGGCACGAAGACAACAGTTGAAACAGACAGAGTGTTAAAGGCATAGTGAGGTAAATGGAACCTCAGTTGTTGTGCTGCGAGGGGGACAGGCCTGCTATCCGGAGGGCCTACCGGGACTCCAACCTGTTGACTGACCGGGTCCTGCACGCTCTGTTGCGGGCAGAAGACAAGTACCTCCCCGCTCCCAACTACTTCAAATGCGTCCAGAGAGAAGTAGCCCCGTACATGAGGAGGATAGTGGCTACCTGGATGCTGGAGGTGAGTTAAAGCCAATGCATTTCATTACGTGTTGTACGAACAGAAATACGTTTACAGAACTGCTGTTTTAAAGCTCCCCTGCTTGTAGTGAAAGTTATATATACTACAATAAGGTGTTGTGTATTTGTGAGTAATTGAAAGTCGCTGGTGAATTCGGCATACACGCTATATATATTCAGATGGGGCAGGGGTAGATGTATGTACTTTTTGTTTCGTAATGGATGCCGTGCTAAGCAGTGCTTAGACAAGTTGCATGTAATGCAGTCTTAACGATAAACAGAGAGCATTTGGGATTTTTAGTGGTATTTTGCAATGGAGTTTGGAATGAAGTTGTCAATGGAGTAACGTGCTGGAGTTGCTATCTAACACGTTCACCATGGGCATACATACTTGTAATGTATATTTCTAACTACATGTAGCCTGTTAACAAAGCAAAAATGACGTTGCTAAGTGTAAATGTCTTTTTTATGCCGTTTAAAAAGGACTTAAACAAACGCGACGCCGATTTTAAAGTTAAGCTTAAAATAAACGATTTCCACGCGCTCATATGCAAGTTAATGCCCCACAATGTAGAAATAACATTGAAATCCTCAGACAATGCATAACACAATATAAAAGTAAACAGCTGGAGGATATTTTTAATTATTTTTGTAAAATGGTGCGAGCTGCAGTCTGTGCAGACCACGCGCTGCCTTTGTGTTGGGGGCTCGTGAGGAGACCTAGAGCTAACAGGTCTTCAGCTCCATATCTATAGACCTATAGATCTATACATACAGCCTCTGTGACACCTACTGTAAAAAGAACACCACAGTATCACTTTAGAGAATGACCATAGAAATACAAGATTTTTTCTTGTATTGTATTTCTATGTTTTTTTGGAAGGCACTATAGAAAATCGATTATGTTTAATCTACCATGTAAGTGTAGTATAAATATAGGATATAGTCGAAACAATAGATGTCGGCTCACACGCCACAATTAGTAATTTCATATTAACAAATAACTATAGTCAATTAACACTGGTCGAATGTATCTTCCACCGGACTGGGAATAGCAAGGTTATAGCACCTCACTCCACAGATTATGTGAGTGAAAATTAATCATGTTTCATACAGTAGTTACTGATGAGTGGATGTGTTTATAGTCTTTCTGTGGGTGTTTCATTCACACAAATTCCTCCAGAGATACAAAAGTTGTTCATACCTATAGGGACGAATAATCAAAAAGTACTATTAAACAAGTCAATGGGATATGAAGTATTATTAATATATCAGATATGCATGTTAAAAAATGGTGCAACTTGACAGGTCCAAGTGCAGAGGTCGCCGCAGAGTAGCTCACCTGGGTTGTAGAGACCTCTGGAGCCGACGTGAACATAAGAGGCGGCAACGTCCTTTGCTACAACTGTGCTTCTCAGCGTCTAGAGTAGGGTAGTATTGAGTACCCAACCATTGTAGGACTTTGATCCTGATGTCATGCCCCCCTCTACTTGCACTACAGCCTCTGGTAATTCTAGCTCTACTGTCAGAAATACACCACAGTGTACCTTATCGACTTAGGAAAATAAGAGAAAAAAATAGCACCATGTAGCAAACCACCCACTCAAAATATATCATAGTATAAATAGTAAAAATTTCAAATATTTTTATGAAGGCACTATAGAAATCATGATTATGTTTAATACCATGAGTATTGGTATATAAATCATTCAATGTTTATAGGTGAAAGATTAGGAATGGTATTCCACGACTTACTTAAGGAAAAAGTAATCCATGTTAAGAAGTAAGTCAAATGTCCGTATTTCATATTCACAGAGAAAGGGATACTATTATTCTACTATATGGTTACAATTTACATATACTTAACTTTATTCAGAGAAGTTTGTAATTAAGATACTATCTCGGATGCTTCATCTCTCTTTTATT